TTCCTGTCGAGGTAGCGTGATATGAAGAAAGACTGTGAAATAATTCAACGTTTACAAGCTGAAAGCAATGCCTTTGAAGTGATTTACGTGGTAAGGCGCATTGAGCCGTGTTCGTGTGATTGAGTGCAGGGTCGAGCACAATTTGTATAAATAAATGGCGCCAAATGATACTTGGCCGATCAGATAGAGAGTGGCGTGTCTCGGACTGTGTCATTACTGACTGTCTGACACACCTTACCACGGCCGCTTGTATTTTATAGCTGTAAAAATCCTATACATTTAACACTTCAGGAACACACTTTCAAATCGTGTAAGTTGGAAACGATAACATTAGCCAAGCACAGAATAAAGAGGTGTTTGAGGTGCAAGGAATATGTTTCAACAAGAACGGTAATTTTCGAACATTTTTAAGCTTTTCGAAATGATTTTCAACCTGTCATGTTTGTTTAGTCAAATGTCTGATGAAGCTAAATCTAATCTATTAAAAATACTTTAATATTAAATTATGTATGTGAAACATAGATCATTTCCCAGTGTTTTGTTAAACAGTCGTTTGTTACCTAAAAAAGAGAATTTCACGTCCATGTTTTTTTCTAGCCTGGGTCCAACACAAAGCCACTGCCCTAATGGATGTTTTAACTCCCATTATAACTTTTCTTTCTCCAACTCCCTAACGATAGACATCCCCACAAAGGTGCCGGGAAATATTAATATCTGAAAGATAAAAGGAGCAATTAGCTCCGGTAAGAAAAGATTATGAATAATGAATTCCGGCGTGTGTGTACAAGAGCGTATTATGTTCAAAGAAAAATAACCCATCAGAGCGATGAAAAATAATCTGCCAGCGTTGCGACCATCCGTCTTGGACGGCTTTGTCTGCGATGAGCGATGTTGTACGTAAATCATCACGGGCGAGTCATTAGATAGGCGATGCTCCGGGCGACAGCGCCGTGTTATTAGGGAGCTACACGACAAGAAATATGGCCGACAGGCAAATATTAAAAGAGGCCGTCTCACCCCGGCCAATTTATAGCCTTCTAGCTCCAACATTTATATTCCCGCACATATTCTCCGGTCGACACACATTGCTCCGGTGACTAGTAGGTTCGCATCACTCTCTCCTGTTACTTACACCGCCCCCACTTATCTTATCCACCCCCCCCCCCCAACCATCAGTCTCACTGACTCATTACCTTAGCTAGGTGGTTTAGATAATTTTTTTTTGTTATTGTGGGTTTTGACTGTAGGGATTATGTAACAGTATTTATATGTTTACATTTAAAATGTGTGGTGCTCGGAAAATTGAGATGACACCAGGATTATAGTTATTAGATACTGCGTGGTAGTTTTACTTCTGACTCATTACCTTAGGTGGTTTAGATGTTATTGTGGGTTCCGACTGTAGGGATTATGTAACAGTATTTATATGTTTACATATCTCGGAAAACTGAGATGATACCAGGATTATAGTTATTAGATACTGCGTGGTAGTTTTACTTCTGACTCATTACCTTAGGTGGTTTAGATGTTATTGTGGGTTTCGACTGTAGGGATTATGTAACAGTATTTATATGTTTACATTTAAAATGTTGGGGATGTGGTGCTCGGAAAACTGAGATGATACCAGGATTATAGTAACCAGGATAGTACCAGGATGGTACCAGGATAGTAGTTTTTCTTCTGACTCATAATCATACTGAATGTTGAGTCTTTTCGTTATCGTTATTTAGGATTGACTTATTTGGGTAGGTCAACTGCACATATCTCATCTTGTACAACTGAACATAGATTTATAAGTTTGTACGAGTAAACAGCAAAGGTTTCACATGCATTTTTATCTAACAAAATAAAAGTATGGGTAATTTATGAGTTGGTAGGAAAAAGCATAGCGACTCCACTAAAACCTATGAATGAATTGTAAAATATAATTAAGAATGTAGCATTAATTTGTGTATGAACAACATAAACACTTACTCATCAACATATCACAATTGATAGCATTAATTGTTTGGACACTTTCATAATTAATTTACTTCTATCGTCTTGTTGTGTTGGACGTAGGGCACCTTCATTAATTTTGTTGTTGTTGCGTTAAATATGTTTTCAAAGGAAGCTTTATGATAATACATTACGAGAACTGCCAAAGGGTGTAGTAAAATTTAATATTCGTTCGGCAATTATAAGCAATCGATCGCTAGAACCCACCGATTATGTAATTACCACTATTTACATTGTTCAAAAACATTTATCACATTGCTCCTCTACGTTGACAATGAACAAAAAACTTAGGCCAAGAGACTAGTATTGTATGTTAATCAATATCCAATATCGATTCGACCGTAGCAACAATCGTATATCCAGAGACCCATAACGTCAACCCGACCCACCTACCGCGTGTTGTGTCAAGTCGTTCCCATAACTCGTTTAATGGTACACCGTACTGGCTGTTTAAATTAAATACGTGCTGTTGAGAGAGTGGGTCTATTATAGCGGCAATCAAACGAACAAAATATTCGTGAACAAATTGGAGGCCGGGCTCGTAAACAAGGCAGACATAATAACCACGGTGTAGAGGCCTACGCGCCGGAGTCCTGGTGGTATTAATGCGCGATATATTATCACAAAGGAGTGGCCGAAGTTTATAGAATTGTTAATGGGTCGGCCACACACCGGGTGGGTTACATGGGTCGTAAGTTGTGACTGGAGCCACCTGCGGCTCTTCAGACCCACTGGCCCTGGGTCTGGGTCTGGTACATTCACATTGGAGTCTACAGGTGCAATATGTCCACACGTTCACACAGTTTAACAAATTGGTTATCCAATAAAGTGTGGACATAGTTGAATAATTTGCTCGTGTGAGATCCTGGGATGGAAACCAGTATAGCAGAGTTAAACATGCGTTGGCTCTGGAAGGGCCGGCTGCCAAAATTGGCAGTAGGGCCATCATCGTCCAGATAAATTCAGTCGGTAATACTTTTTCCAGAATAAGATGCGGGTAATTTGAATTTATCGATGAGGTCCGCAATAATTGGGCCTGTCAGCACGGTGGAGTTTCTTGAGCATCTTCTGCGTCCTATACCGAGGAGGACAAGAACTTCAACATTCAAGAGTTTGCAGAGCGTTCTCATCAGGTAAAATCCACCATCCAAAACTATTTTTCGACATACTAACGTTCAGTAACTTGAATGTTTACAGATTGAACAAATGTGTTTACATTGAAAATAATCCCCTTATTCCTTAATGTGTATTTGCTTGGTATGTTGGTTGCAGACTGTACCAAACGATTGATTAAGTTAATCTTTGACTATTAATGGAACCAAATAAATTACTGATCTCTATTAAATAAGTGAGCTTGTATACATATAAAACTGAGTAGACGACTTACTGAAAGCTATAGAACCTATTATGTTACATTAATCTCAACCAAAAATTAATAAAAAATCAAATTTTGAACTTAAGATCCTTCGTAAATAGGCTTTTAAACTATGTTATTTTTTAACCTTGGATAATACTCTAGGCCTATTTCCATGCACATTGGGTGTATATTCAAGCTTCCGAGAGTCAATAGTGCAATATAAAGTCGCAATTGCATTTACAATTTTAACGAGCCACATGTCAAATTCCCAACCCTAAAATGTTCCAGCTTGTGTAGACTGGACCAGATCCTGTTGACAAGAGTGGAGAGAGAAGCTGAGGAAGCAGTTCAAATAAATAGGATGTCAAGTAGGTGCGAGTTGCCAGCTGTGTCTACGGTGACAGCAGCTGTCGTCGTCCTCGGCATCACAGACAGCATCACAGCATCACACAGTGGCGACGACATCACATGACCTCTTGAGCTAAAACAGACACTCAAAAGCATCAGGGTTGCCTTAGATACGCATTCAATGTCATTACCATTACACTAAGACAGGATCACAATTCTTACCTAGTAATGACCTTAACATGAGTGAAAGATAAGTGTAGGATCGAGAATGATCAAACTATTTAACCGACTAATATGCGTTTATCCAGACAGTACCAGTTATTTAAAATCCAATGATCAAGGACAACTAAGTCCACTTTGGAAGTATCAAAATGCCAAAGACTTTTTACAGGTTTGAACCTCAGTTACTCAGCTGTTGTACAACAATTGTAAAAATATGACTACATATTTTTTATACATTTACCATTTAAAAAATGATTAAGCCTACTGTAAATAAACACCACTAGAAGTTTCATTGTTTTAATATGAAAAAAAAAAATTATTACTGAGGTTACCAAACCAATATTTTAGATTTTGTGAGGGGATGGCAGTTTTTTTACAATTTAGAGCCACCAAGATTACTTTCTTGCTATTTTCCACTTTCCTTTTTTCAATGACTGACTTTACCTAGTTAATATTTACTTAGCTTTATAATATTAATTTTTTTTCTTATCCAGCCATAAACACACAAAACATAAAAAAATGAGAAAAACATTACTTTATATATGTGCTCATTTTGTGAAAATTTACCATATTAAATTTGGCTCAAACTAGAAATAAACTATTTTATTGTACACCAATGTTTTGGTGGATTCCACACGAATGCCTGTAATGGAAGGAAACGATTGTAACAAATATTTGTTCGTCATTGACACCACCCAATGTAAGTAATATAACTACAAATTGTTCTTCTTGTTCCTTAAATAAAGAAATATAATTTGATGAAAATGAATTAACAGTGTGAGTGTTGTATAACTACAATGTCTATATTACTATGTTCATAGCATTATCTATATTCATAACGCTATTGATTTTAATAAAACACATGCCTACATACCAAACTTCATAACGTCGTGATGAAAGTGAGATTGAACCAGGCTGACGAGCGGGCGATTCGGCCGAATACCTGTCTGTCATTAAATTATATAAATTCCAATCAGTTGCAGCGAGCATCCTGCATTCCTCACACACGGTTGAGCATCGAGCATGCAACTAGGTATATAAGCTGCGAGTACGGAGTGGACGATATCAGTTCATCATGGGCTTCCAAACAGTTCTAGTGGGTGTTCTAGCCTTAGGAGTCCTGCAGTCTCACGGATTTGGCCATGGACATCACGGCGGAGAACTTCAACACGAACACCATGGACACTTTGAACATCCCAAGGTAGAAGAACACAAGCACGAGCATGAGGAGGATCATCACCACGAGATCAACACAGTGACTGTGACGAAAGAAGTTCCCGTGCCGTACACTGTGGAGGTGGAGAAGAAAGTCCCATACAAGGTGGAGGTTCCTGTTGACAAGCCTTACCCCGTGGAAGTGCCAAAGCCCTACAACGTCTACGTCGAGAAGAAAGTTCCCTACAAGGTTCAGGAGTATGTCCCCCAGCCGTACACAGTCTACAAGAAAGTCCCTTATCCAGTGCACTACCACGTCGACAAACCCTACCCCGTCCACGTGCCTAAGCCTTACAACGTAGTGGTCGAGAAGAAAGTGCCCTACCACGTGGAGAAGAAAGTTCCCTACCCAGTGAAGGTGTACGTCGACAAGCCTTACCCAGTGCATTATCCTGTGTACAAGCACGTGCCTTACCCGGTGGAGAAGAAGGTGCCTTACCCTGTGGAAGTGTCGGTGGAAAAGCCTTACCCAGTTCCAGTGCCTAAGCCTTACAACGTTTACGTGGAGAAGAAAGTTCCTTACACTGTTGAGAAGCATGTGCCCTACCCCGTCCATGTACCGGTGTATCATCATGAGAAACACTCCGGACATCATGAACATCAAGAGCTCCAACATGGGCACCACGAACTGCAACATGGGCATCACGAGTTCCAACATGGACACCACGAGTTCCAACATGGGCACCATGAGCTCCAACATGGACACCACGAGTTCCAACATGAAACCACCCACGAGGGGAGCCACGGAATCTTCTAGATGGAATTCCAAACTGTAAATATATGTATATTGTGTTATAAGTACAACTCATGCTTGTCAAGTATATTATTATTTTTCTTGAGACTTAAACAAGTTCAAAAAAGTATATAACATTCAAAATATTAGTAAGGTGTTCACATATAACAGAACCAACGCCCTCATTAAAATACCTATAAAATTATAATTGGGGGTAGTTAATTCATGAATATTTAGTAAAAAATTAAATATACCCATGAATTTTTAAACAAAACTGACGCTATAAACTCACATACATACTTAATTGCACGAACAGTAAAAACGCTTTTGACTTTATTACTTCCAATTAAGATCGAAGATAAGTCAAAAGTGCGAGGTGGTGTTCCTCGCTTTATGGGCGTGATAAATAAAACAGAAGCCAATAACACAACTGAGCCTGAGGCCGGAGCCAGATTAGACCTTTCATCACGGATTATAATTAGGGAACCCGCAGCGACGGGCAATACGTCAAATGCGCCACATAAATTATGAATTTAATAAAAGTAATGGCCGCTATATACTAGGAGTTAATAACACATTTTAGTGTGTCATAAAGGCGCGCAAAGTGGATTATTTACTGGTCCCAACGGCGTTGTATCAGAGTTTGTCGGGGATAAATATTCATTAGTTCGCCAATTAAGCTGGCTACTGAGCGAAATACTGGCTTTTAATTTGTTTTTACAAGGTTCCGCGTCACTGCGCCCTCCTCTCAAAGGCGGTATGAGTAATGGTGTCTTTTAATGGCGCCTTTCTAATTAAAATCGACCTTCGGTATAATGCCGAGGTTAAGTAGAGTGATTTATCACTTGGCGGTGAATAATGTTACAGTATTTATAGTTTTATCTTGAATCTCGGTCGTATTGGCATTACCTAAAAAATTAAAACTGATAACAAAGTATCAGTATTCAATACTAATGCTAATATATGCTTATGTCTCAGCAATGGTTATCAAATTTTGGTAATCACTTATAATTTCATAATATGATGGAAAACATATGATAAAATACAATTTTTTTCAAAATTAGATACATATGTAACCAAAGCTACTGAGAGTAAAAAGAACATTGTGCAGATAAATGACAATAAAGTTTGTAAACAAAGTAAAAATGTCTTATTCTCTAATCCACCCATAACACTTATTTTAAAAGCAAGGTTTAATATTAAAGGCAATATAAATTTTAATTTCACTTTTCAAAACGCATTATTTTTTACATCCAAATCATCTTAAATATTTAGACGGATAAGTTTAAAAGTATTAGGAGTCATGCAGAAGGGTAAAAGTGTTTAAGTGTTTAACCATCCAATATTTGTAACTTATATTATTAAAATACGTTTTGCAGTTGTTTACATATGCTTGATTAAGTTATATCTACAAAAGTCCACTATGGTTTGATGGTTTGTATGTTAACATTCTGGGGCCTACACTTGAATTACGAGCTATTTAAAACAAATTTTCTAATTGCATCTCGTATTTTTTTTAGTTGGTTGGTAATAAAATGAGTGCGCCGTTGAAATAGGAAAATGCTAAGATACATTATAATACAATTAATATAAACCTCATTAGTATTTTCTTTTCATTGGGCAATGAAAAGATATCTAGTTTTCTATAAAAGCAAAATGTGAGGGAACAATATACTATCTAAGGGTAGTCTTGGGAAGGCGGAGAGTGGAGAGTGGAGAGCGGAGAGCGCCCTGGGGCAGAGGTGAGGTTAACTGTCAAGGGTCGAGTATATCACCCTCTACAATGATCGATGGAGGCACCAACGTAGAGAGATGGATGAGCTGTAGTCCAGGGGAGGGTAAAGAATACGTCATAGTACGTCTTGGAGGATAAACGATACTTCAATGTTTGTTCTGGTAGACAGATGCCTCACTAGGACACTTCAATGTGTCTTGGTAGACAAATAGTGTATCTTTGAATGAATATTTTTTGTGTTTTGGTGAGTAACAGATACCCATACGTCATACAGAATGTGTATTAGTGACTATAACCTGCACTATGTCTAGTGATATACAATTGTGTTTCTTGGTGGTTAAATGTTTCAAATAAATACTTTAATATTTGGAGGAGTGTCTTCTTAAATAGACACTGGTAACATAATAACACTACATTATTACTGCATTATTTGTTTTTGTACTACAGGGTAGTTAGGTTACCTTGGTGGTGACTTTTGTTACTGTTTGCCTTAGTTTCTTAAACGATGAGAAGTCACTGTATGTGTAGAAAAATAGATAATTAACCGTGCCTTAGTAGATGAAACACATTGTCTTGGAGGTTGAAATATACTTCACTGTTTGTAAATGAACATTTCACTGGGTCTTTAACGGTTAAATACTCAAATGCATGTCTTAGTAGTTACATTATTTACCGTGTCATGGTTAAAAAACATTTCGATAAGTTCCTTGGTAAATAGGAAATTCAATACTTAGCTGTGTATCTTGGCAGAAACTAAAGTACTACTTTCTAAGTCTTCGGAAACATAATGATCAACAATTTTAAAGTAAAATAATTGTTCGAGTTTTTTCTCAGTGAAACAATACACCTTTATTAGTGTACTTGATGGGTATATTTGTCCTCTCTCTTAGATATCATGTTTAGGTTCCCATAGCCACTGTATACACAACATTCCGACTTCCCCGACATTAATTAAAATCACATTTCCCCACTTATCCCCCGCTGATTTACCAACCCAAGTTGAAGCTTGGACAGTTTATCACGTAGCCCGATGTTCGCGAAGGTGTTCGTTGTACGTAGCGTTGTCGTGCGTGTATCTCCACAACCACCCAGCCACAAGCCTCTCCGAGGTCTATAAAGTGTCGCGAGTCCGACATTATCTGGCTCGCCATTACCATAAAATGGATCCATTAGAGCATGCGCAGCGCTAGTGCGGCACGGCGGCGGGTGACATGCGCATACACACGCCATGTTATTGGCCTGTAATTGGAGCTGGTCGATACAATCGATTGTTCGATATCTCGACACCCGCTACACCATCGAACGTCGCCTCTCTAGTCGCCGGTGGCCCTTATCTTGTCGTATCAACTTATTGTTATGGTCCACCTTTCTCCATTAGACCTCACACGGTGCGTTTTCTTTTTTATGAGATCCCTTGCAGGTGTGAAATAGCGCCAGGGTATCGGTGGAATCACATTACTCTCTTACGGGTCTTCCAATTAGCCAGAGATTTTTTAACGTGTGAGAGGAATGAAATAAAGGATTGTGCTATTTTACCGGTATAAAAACTTATTTTTATCGAACGACCACACACTGTGGATTCCTTTTTCTCTTGATGTCACTAGTATAACCTGTAATTGAAAGAGATATAGCAAACTGTGTTTAAGCTTTCCAATTCAACTTGAGCTAGTTTAAAAAAAGCTTGCACTCCGTCCTATTAACGAAGTAGCAAGTTTCTGTCAACTGAGAACAATTTTAACAATTTTCCAATATGTTAGGACTATCATTAACAACCACAATATTTGGAATTTTATGTGGTGATCTGTGTTTTATAAACAGAAACCTAACCAAAAAGCAATAAAAGCTGTTAAAAACTTCTTCTTCAAGCATCGTTTATGTATTTAGTGGTATTTATTGGTCTCTTCAAGTATAACCATGGAAGTAAACCTATATCCAAACAATATTGAAGTAAAAGTGACGATAACAATATTACCACCAACAAAATTAGAAGTTAAAAATGAATAATCAATATTTTTTTTATTCATTTGTATGAAAAACAATACCATAACAACGATCAGCATTATGATTGCTACATAGCACTTTTAAGAATTCTATCTCCCCTAATACGACAAAACACACTCAGGGCACAAAAGAACACAATTCCCCCAAGCTTTGCTGCTATATCTCCAGTATTGGGTTACGCAGTCATGTTTACAATGTTTACATTTGATAATATCCTTTGGGATATATTTAGTTTTAACTAGCATAAATTTCCCCATAAAATTATTTCAGGTGTTTTGATACTACAAACTTAAACTTGAACAATGCGTTTTAAAGAAAATTACTCAGTTCAAAGAGTATATTATAGGTGCTGCACTTAAGAAAATAAAACGGAGATGATACAAACCGTAAACATTCTTAATTAATAACCCTCATGACCATATTTTTGTGTGCTATTTATGTAAAATTTTTGGAATATTTAAACAGGAAATCTGTGCCATGTAATAAACGAACACGATACAACCACTCAAAAGATAAACCACTTTTCACACAATTCTTTTGAGTCTTTAAATTGACAACAATCAATCAACTGTCTAAACAAACAAGAATTGTAATTTCCCCACGGAATACAAACAAATAAATAAATCTAACAAACTCCAAACGAGACTGGTGTTTTACCTATTCAAATTAGAACATGAGGATGAAACAGCCCAAGCAGTCTTGTCGTGGTGTTGTCAGCTCCATTAGAACACCGAACAGAATTGCTCTAATGACTTGTCTAGTAAACGACGCTCTCCCAACATAAGGAGTCCCATTCTAAGATAACGCGGAGTAATATAGTTAGAGAACGGCGATGTTGGCGCGGCTGTCTCTCGTTTATCCGACAGCCTATTGGTCTGTCTCCCGTTAATCCGACATCCTATTGGCTTGCTCTGCACTCTCCGCTGGCGTTAAGTATTTTGCATTGCTAATAGTTATTGCCACATGTTGGGTTGTCATGTGATAATACATTTTTCATTGTGTGCTAGCCAAAGAACCTTTTGTGTTTTAAGTGAAAACTTACCAATCTACTCTTAATATTCGTGTTGTAAGGCATATTTTATATACTGGGATGGAAAGTAACGACAATACTGAACCCCAACGTATGGGAACCTAGCTCATAATAATTTATTTAAATACTGCAGCCATTAGGGTAAAATGAGCCGATATTTTCTTATGAGTATACATTTATTTCAACTGTAAATCACAAACAAGATTCACAAAATAATTATTTCTCTTTGTGTGTTTGAATCTAGTTTAGAGGATAAAGCTAATAAGATTATATTACCATATACTATAGCCCCCTCCCCTCCCCGAAACCCCTAGATATTCTATGATTGTAGTACAGTAGATCATTTCGCTGGTTGTAAAATGTGTGGTGGATGTAAAGTTGCACAAATTCATAACATCTGATAATAGCATTTATTTCT